TTGCTCAGGCAGGCAAGCTGGGCAGGTGAGTGCCCACTAAACCATGACAAAGAGGAGTGGGAGAGAAGAGATGGATTTATGTAAACCTACTAGCCTGAACACCAACGTAGTTGAGGAACTTAAGGAATTGTGAGTTTGGCACTGTACATTGTGAGAATGATTGACAATTAACAAAACAGCATAACTAAAGGCTTGTGATGTAATATCCCTAAGCCAAATAATCCAAACTGTACCTTGTCACCTGCCTCCCTTGTTACCTTACATAAGTCACCTCTCCCTTGCTCTTGTTCTTTGCAGTCAGATGATGGCACAGCTTGCGGCACCTCAGCAGGACAGTCTCTGTCCAGGCTGTGTTCTACATCTCCTCCTTTGTCCTGGCTGTGTTGCTTCTTTGATCCTTCAGTGGGCTGATTTAGCTCAGCAAGCTGTCAGGTATTAACCCAGGAAAATAAACTGAATAATTATCCATAATGATCTGAATCAGCTCTCCAGTTTCAGATGCTAAGCTTCAGGAAGGGATCACAGAGTCAGGAGGTGGATGGAGAGAAGAAAGAGTGGAATAGTTGTTTCAGTCAGAGGAGATGTCTTTGGCTGTCTCAACTGCTGCACTGACCCACAGCTCAAAGCCCTGTCAAGGCTGTCCTGACCCTGCTGCATTTTAGAGTGCCTGTAGAACCAACTGCTTTGGAAGGAGGAAGATGCTTGAGTGAGGTGGACAGTTGTGGTATGTCTGACTTGCTGTCCAACTTCACAACTGTCTGAATTTTTACCACATCAGCTTTATTTGAAGCTCTCTACCTATATAAAGTTTTTGTATAATTTCCCATTGCATTTTTTTCTCTGTCCACTCACTGAAGTATCTCATTTTGCCTAGTTTGCTGTAGAAACCCTCTCTTGATACGAACACAAATGCTAATGTGGTTTCCTGCTATGCTGATATTTCCAGGCTTGTTTATCTGCAGGAGGAGCTAAGAAATAGTTTTGCATTTAAAAACAGGACAACTTGAACTGATAATGCTTTTTTTGATCTTAGTTGTTTGAATTAGCTGTGGATTAAAGCTGCATGTTCTACCACAGCATTAATAGGATGACGTTAGGCTTGATTTCCCTTGCTTTGCTTGAGAAGTCTGCGGAGAATCTTGTATTTGCATGGCAGAAGAATACATTATCGTGGTAAACAGCATTTCTGAAGCCTTGTATGAAATCACCAAAAATAATGTAAGTCTCAAGGTTGGCCTCAGTGACAATAAAGTATGAGTTGGCTGAGCAACAGGACAGCTGGGGGGTCTGAGGAAAATGTCTGGTTCAAACAAAGCAATCAGGTTTAATTACATCTGGTGCTTACAAAATTGCATTTGATTTGCATTGAAGAAGATTTAGGTTAAAATTTTTGGGGAAAAAAATGTGTTGCTAGGATGAAAGGCAAGAACTAGGTAAGTTCATTTCAGTATTCCTTTGCTGGAACAGGTTTGACACACACTTTTATTGTAACACTTTGCTGTTACTGATATAGGGTTACTGTGCCCTGACTTGCTGTCAGAAATGAGGTGTGAAAACTGATTAACTAAGCACAGAACAACTAACCTAACATTTCCTGTCACACAAAGCCAGTTTGGGGTCCAGAACTTGCGTTGCTGTGTTGTCTTTCCAAGACAGTGTGGTTGGATAGAGGAAGCCACTGTATTTCAATAGGCAAAAAATAAAGGAACATTTGTTTGTTTGTGTGTGATCTTCTGTGGGAAAATAGAAAGCAAAAAAAGGAGCCTTATGAGTGAAGACTGTATACAGATATGGACTGACCTAGGATAGTTTTTGATGGGATAGGAAGTATCATATCGATAGTTTTTGATGGGATAGGAAGTATCATATCTCTGCTTGATTAAAAATCAGGAGCTTAAATAGTGCTTAAATATTTTATTCCTTGTGTGAGGAGAAAATGAGGAGAAAACAATGGAAAACTGCCAAACATTTTAAGGTCTGTTTAATTTGGGGGTTTTAAAACGGGAACATGTGCAAGATCTATCTATATCCCTATGGCAGGGATGTACCTACATTGCCTTCAGCTCCGTGCTGCTATTTCTTTTGTTTGTTGGAGGATGAGTTTGTCATGATTAGATTCTGCAGGGTAGACAGACGGGTGAGGCAGCCATGCATGTGTGTGTGTGGGAGTGTGTTCAAGGTTTTCCACAGCTGGTTCTTTGGTCTATTTGCAGACAAAGTTATAGGAGCTGCTAAAGCTACTGGCAGGATTGGAGGCTCTATGTATGGCTTTGTTTCCCCACTTCAGCTGTTGCTGCTTCTGTATACCAATGCCTACGATCTTCCCTGAAGTTTTGGGATCAGTTGAATTAATCCAGTCCCACAACTGCAAACAACTGTGTCAAAAAACCCATCAGCTCCACTCACCTCAGCATATTGTAAACTATGGAGTATTTCTTAATATCCTCTTAAAAATCTTTGCCACTTACAGTAAAATACCAAAAGCAGTAATTATAATGAACTAGAGGGAGATCAGGAGAGATCAAAGGCATCCCTCTAGAAGCCTAAATCCTTGAAGTAGCAGGTAATTTGTTAGATTTAATTCTCAGGAGTTAGCCCATGCCCCAAGCTGTAAAGATAGGTTAAAATAATACCAATGGTTCTCTGCTAGTCTGGCCTGAGGGTGATTCTTTTGTGATCTGGTGGGGTCAGCTTACTTTTTGATCATAAGAGCAAGTATTTGGACAACTTCAGTACCAATGGAATAACAGAGCAAGTCCCCCTGTAGTCCTCTGGGTGATCTCCCAGGTTTCCAAGGAACAAATAAATAACAAAGCAAAAAAGCCAAGACAAATTATGCCGCAAGGGGGAAGAAATCCTTCCAAGTATCTGCAGACAGGCAGTTCAAGGCATGAAGCATTAGATTAATACATGATCAGCAGGCAGCAATCAAGACTTTCTAAGGGATAATGCCACAGACTCAGCACAGTTTTTTCGTTTGACTATAGCAGAGCAGTCTCTTACCTTGTCTTAAATACTCTTTTACAAGCATATCATAGAATCATATCATCAGATAATTATTTTTTATCTTGTTCTCAGGTATAACAAAACTCCCTATCTGAACAGTAAATGTAATTACTTTTTATGTAGCTGATTTTGACTTCCTCAGGACAGTACTTCACAGTTGCTTTTGCTGAATTTTATCTGAAGTTCTTTACCATGCCTTCTGCTTGTGAATTTGACTATGTTCTTGCAGTTTGTCACTCACTGATCCATTTGATTGCGCTCTGCGCCATCACCCTGTCTATTTACAAAAATAAGGAGTAAACTCTAACTCAAGACAGAGCCTGGCATGTCTGCGATGTCACTGTGCTGTTCCATTTCTGTGCTGCTTTTTTCTTTGTGTTAAAATGATTGGAATGGATAAGATTTCAATTTAAACTTTAAAAACTTCTCTTGGTATGTAAGTGACAGTATTTGTCACTACAAATGCTTTTGAGAATGTTTATATACAATAGTTCCAAGATTTAAATGATCATTGTTTAAAATCTGTCAAGAGAAAAAGTCTTGCCACAACTAAATATGTAGCACTGACATTTGGAATCAGAGCAGACACAAGTATTTGGCTTTTACTTGAAGTGCTATCAGCTGCTTTCCGGGAGGAAGAATGAGGAGACATTTCTGTAGCAGGTTAATTGCAGGATAACAAGCAAATTCTGTCTCTTTACACTAATTAATCTAAATAAATTCAAACTACATGAAATCTTTCTATAATGAAGCCATTCTTTTCACAAAACAACTTTAGTCTGAGTGGAAGCAGAATTGCAATTGGCATATGGTGACATATTGAAACAATTCAGAACCTTAATTCCACTTCATGATCAGAGCTGCTCTACAGTGCCCAGGTAGAGAAATTCTTCTGAGGGCAATGAAGGAAGTACTCCTGTCTTCCCAAAACAGCTTTCTTGCTTTCTTAGCAAAAGTCAGGAAGAAAAAAAAGTTTGAATCCTTGAAAGTTATTTTGGAACTAGGCAGATCCAAATGGCCTGTAAGTTGTGTAAAGTTGTATGCTGCCCTCAGAGTAGTGTGCTTGCTTTGCCTCTTTCTGGTGGCTCTATTGTCACTACAAACATCTGACTATCTCAAAGACTGGTTTGATTGTATGTATTTTATGTGCCACTTTATCCTTTGATTCAGCTCACAGTGTTTGAGTTTATAAGAGATTTCAGAATGGAGTCATAGAATCATCAAGGCTGGGTAAAGTTGTATGCTGCCCTCAGAGTAGTGTGCTTGCTTTGCCTCTTTCTGGTGGCTCTATTGTCACTACAAACATCTGACTATCTCAAAGACTGGTTTGATTGTATGTATTTTATGTGCCACTTTATCCTTTGATTCAGCTCACAGTGTTTGAGTTTATAAGAGATTTCAGAATGGAGTCATAGAATCATCAAGGCTGGAGGAGACGAGACCATTGAGCCTCGTTGCTCTTCACTGGACTGGCTCCAGTGCCTCAATGTCTTTTTTTTAGTGGAGGCCCAAAACTGAGCAGAATACTCGAGGTGTGGCCTCACCAATGCTGAGTACAGGGGGATGATCACTGCCCTAGTCCTCATGGTCACACTAGTTTTGATATAGCCCAAAATGCCATTGGCTTTCTTGGCCACCTGTGTACATTCGTACTGAGCTGCTCTCCACCAGCTCTCCCAAGTCTCTTTCTGACGAAAGCCAGAAGCAGTTATCAGTCAAAAGATACAGACTTTTTTTGTGTCACTGTTTGTCTGTTTTAGACTGTTACTCTATTACTCTACCATCTGCAAAACCATCATTTGTAGTCCCCACCCCAAACAAATAAATGATCTGGCAAGTAACTGCTAAAGAAGGAGGCAGCCAGATTGCCTGAGGTCTGTACTAGGTGTTGAAATCCCATATTTGATCCTCTTGATGAGTGATATTAGTGCAGAAGTGATTTAGTATTGGTGCAATAAACTGCTGTTTCACATGGTGTATTTTTGTTATCCTGTGCAGAGCTATGTACCCTGGACTGTGGCAGTCACGGTGTCTGTTCCAGAGGGATATGCCAGTGTGAAGAGGGCTGGGTGGGACCAACCTGTGAAGAACGTACCTGCCACTCTCACTGTGCCGAGCACGGGCAGTGCAAGGACGGGAAGTGTGAATGCAGCCCTGGATGGGAAGGGGACCACTGCACCATTGGTAAGGGTGTTTTGTAGCTTAAGAAATGAAATACATAAAATCTTGACCAGTTCTACACAGATCTGCCATAGCCATCATTCTGATTGAAATCAGTTTGGAAAAACAGAGACCCAGAATCCAGCCAAGTGTAAAAAGGTGCCTCTGCACCCTGCTTGTCCCACAGCATAGCAGCTTGGTGCAGCTTTATATATGGAGGAAATAGCATAAATTAATTAATTAAAAATTAAAAAAACACAGACACAAAGGAAAGGTATCTCTGTCCTAACATGTCTTTGCATTGTGTTCTTAAATGAACTTTGAAGTCAGGAAGGAAAAAAGGGTTTAAGAAATAGAAGGTCTTAGGGGACAAAGCAATTATTTAGCTTAAGTAATTCTTGCATTAAATCTCTTGCCTTTCTGTTTGAGGATTTACATATTTTACGTATTACTAAAGGTGTTTTTTCTGTAGCTGGCTCCTAACAATATTCCTAATAAGGTAAAGCTTTCAGATCTTTTTTGAAGTCATTAGTCTACTATACAAATGTAATAGCTATATTTTTAATAAAATGCAATAGATTTTTGCAAAGACTAATAGTGTTTCTCCCTAAAATGTCCTAAAGCAAGATTATTCATAAGCAGTTTTTTTGTTTTTAATAGCACAGTATCTAATTTTCAGAGAGAAGCAGCATAAGCTCTCATGCTTGTTTCTTGAAAAAAATCTAGAATGTGTTGTCTTTATCTTGATCATTTTAAGATAATTCATTCCCTGGCATTAGAATTTGCTAGATCAGAATTGTTAAATCAAGAATTAGGTTTGTGAAGGAGGAACAGCCTCATTTTCTAAAGATTGTTTAGAGCAAATCTGGAGAAGGACCAAAATGCTTAAAAAGATAAGTAGACCTGCTCTAAACCGGCACATCGTGGACAGTGCCAGGTGTGGCCCCAGCCCCTCTGCATGCTTGTCATCAAATGGAGAATGATCACAAATGCAATGTGCTTTGGTCAGAATTAGGTTTGTGAAGGAGGAACAGCCTCATTTTCTAAAGATTGTTTAGAGCAAATCTGGAGAAGGACCAAAATGCTTAAAAAGATAAGTAGACCTGCTCTAAACCGGCACATCGTGGACAGTGCCAGGTGTGGCCCCAGCCCCTCTGCATGCTTGTCATCAAATGGAGAATGATCACAAATGCAATGTGCTTTGGTCTGGTCACCTTTATGTCTAACCCACAGGTGACAATCCATAAGCAAATGGTGACTGTATTTTCATTTGGGTACAGAAGTTTGATCCATCTCAGTTTTGTTCTTTTCTTTTTTAAGCTCACTACTTAGATGCTGTTCAAGGTAAGTTTTTCATGTCAGCATTGCAAAAAAAATTGATGAAAATATACAAAAGTATTGGGAATGTTTTGTGTTACCCCTTTTGTCTGAGCTTCTGTACTGCTAAATTCCCAGAATAGATAACACATTTGTTTATGGAGATTATACATATATATAAACACATGGAGCAGAAAATGCAGTTTTTAGCAAATAATATGCTCAAATCATTTGCAAATTTGCAGCAATGTAAGCATGTTTTACGTGGCCATCTGATGTGCTGTGTTAGGCAAATCCATTTTTTGCTCTTGCTTACCATCTCAAAGTAATGCCAGAGCTGTGGACTTGCTCAAAAAGCTTGTGTTGATACCGTCTCCATGAGAACAAAAATTTTTTTTCTTTTTTTTTTTCTCATTTATGCTTGAAGTAAATATCTTTTGATAGAGAAGTACACTTTTTTTAAAAGCTGCTGTGCCAGATGTGATCTAGTTCTCTTCAAATCATTTGATACAAGAGTTAAATTTTATGTTGCTTTGTGTCTGGTGCTGTTCATTTGATTCTCATGCCTTGCCTCAGGTCCTGCTTATTCATGTCAGCACAAGTACCTTCCTGGAGTCTGACAGCAGTCCCTCAGCCTGCTGAGCAGTGATGCACAGTGCCCCTTCCAAAAATGCTGCTAGCTGAAATATCAAACTAACCAATATTGCAGAAAGACCTGAGTGCTTATTTTGTATTTCTTATTTTATTTCTTCAGAACTAGGTAATGATAAAAGCATGTAGGTATTCATTTGATTACATTTATAGACATAGAGGATAACCACACACAGCAGCAAAATATAATAATGTACAAGAAATTAATTAACTCAGCAGGGCAGTGATTCAAAGTGGAAAAACATCCCCATTACCCAGAACAGCTCTCACATCCTGTCCTTTCCCCCAACTCCCCCAAAGAGGCAAATAATTGGCTTTACTGTATATTTGGTGGTTGCCAACTTCATGCTGTTTTAGAGCAGTATCTTCCAGAATTCCACTGTGAGAAAATGGTGCCATCCGTCGCCACCTCTTCTGAGCATGAGGGTCAGACTCTCCGATCCCCCTGTTTGCAGATGTGATTGATAAACTGTGCTGAGGGTGTGAAGGAGAGAGGTTGTGTGTCTCATGTCAAGTTTCCTGGAAGTGTGCTGCATATGGGGCTGTAAGTCACAACCTGATGGACCAGACTCTCCAATCGGCTCCTGCAAAATCCATCCAGAGCATCTTGGGGCTGTCAAACACAGATGCAGGCTGAGGCTTCTAGTTTCTACCTTAAAACAAAGTTCTCTCTGATGATACCTACATGTTGATGTTCAGTATCAAGGGCAGAAGGGCATTCAGATACTGTATGTCCATGATGGCAAAAGAGAAAGTATCCTCTTAGAAGGGATGCCACTTGCACTGTTAAGCTTATTGCCAAGCTTTATCCATTGTCCTTTGGCTCCATGTGTGACATGGTGAAGATTTGACAAATGTCTGAGCTGGCACTTCACTATGCAAGCAGATGGGCATGAGTGTACACATCCAAGAGACCATTCCTCTCTCACTCTTACAGGCAAGAAATCTAGCTGTGAATGTCCAAATTACTGTTGATTCAGAGCTTGCAAGTATATAATCCAGAGGATGCTACAGTCCTTGTTCCAGTTTTGATCTAGAATTAAAGGGCACGTGTTGGTTGTATTTTATTCATTATGGAAGAAAGTAGAATGGGACACTGGAAGAAATGCTCCCTCAATTGCCTTCTGTGGAAAGAGTTATGTTGTAGCATAAATCAAATTGGCTTTTTCTCAGTCAGATGAGTATTTATGAACAGAATAAAAAGGTCACCTCCACTCCCTGCAATGTGTCGGACTATGTCCACAAACGCCTGTTTGTCATTTAGACAATATTTTCCATGTATATCTTCGATATAAATCTTGATTATGTATATTACTTCCTTTGTGAGCTGCAGCTTATTTTTCAATATGTAGAGAAAGAGGTGGACATGGCAGACTTTATAACTTACAACTTCACACACTTTTTTCCTGCACATAAAATACTGCACACTAAAAAAATAATCCTCACTGAGAACTTACTTTTGGGCAAGCAAAGTGAAGAACCAGGATGGGGATTTTTCCATGTTTGACCAAAAATATAAATGGCATGCACAGCAGCTGTGATCATTTGAAGACAGCAAGTATTGTATTAGATGAAGGAACGTTAACGAATAATTGCAACTGTAAAGTAAGATCAGAAATTCCTTCATGAAGGCTTATCTTTTCACATTTTCTCTTCTAGATGGTTGCCCAGGTCTCTGTTATGGAAATGGGAGGTGCACTCTTGATCAAAATGGATGGCACTGTGTTTGTCAAGTGGGCTGGAGTGGCTCGGGATGTAATGTTGTCATGGAAATGGTGTGTGGAGACAACCTGGACAATGATGGAGGTAAGATACATAATTCATGTGTCTCTGTTTATTTGTCACATCCTTGACTGTCATTTGAATCTATAGTTTCGGTATATGTTTTCCTTTTCATCACAAAATGTCAATGTTTGTCTGTTTGCTCAAGACAGTTGTTCCGCTGACTTCATCTGAAGCAGCACAGTGAGGGAACAGACCCTTCTGCTAGATGCTGCTCGAGGCAGAAAGTATCTGTGTGCCATATCTATCATCCCAGTACTTGATCTTTTCTTACAAAAAGCAAGCAAAGCGAAACAAAAGTGTAACAAGTAATTTCTTCTATCTCCTTTCCACTCTTCCTCGTAACTGTCATCTCTCTCAGAAAAGAGAGCCAATGGATACTCAAATGAAAAAAACTTCTGTGTCTGTAAAAATGCATCCAGAGTTTAGTCTGATGTTAATATTAATTTAATATATTTTCAAACATAAAGCATACATTTAGAGTTGCTTTTTTTAACATTAGTCTCTCTTAATATTTCCACTGAAACACAGCACAGTTCTTGCAATTTTCTGGACCTACATTTGAAGCACTGTTGAGGAAGCCAGTGTAGAAAGTATGCAGAAAAGTAATGTTGGAAAGTACCATAAACAGAGCCCTGTGCTAATCATTCACTGTTCTCCATTAGTTGAACCAGGGTATTCAGCACTAGATGTTCCCTATGTCAGACCTCTGTAGTCTTGATTCATTCTCAGGCTGTGTAAGTTTTAGGTTTGCTGGGAAAAAACAGTTCTTTCATAAGTTAGTCTCTTCCTCCTTTGCAGTAGTTCATTCTAATACACAAGATGGAGCATTTTTTTCAGAAAAAAACATCCAGACTCTATTTCAAACTTACCAGTGGGAGAGAAGCCACATTCCTCACTGGTTGTTCTCAAAGTTCATTATTTTTCCTGCTTTAGGAATACTAATTTCCTGAACAGTCAAGGCCTATTGCTTTTCTCTCATTTAATTGCTACCAGCCTTTACAGTGTGCTTGCCCCCATACTCAGAGCCATGCAGCTTTCTCATTCAAACAGTAAATTCAGGGCCAGGTTGGATGGGGCTTTGAGAAACCTGGTCTAGTGGAAGGTGTCCCTGCCCATGGCAGGGGGTTGGAACGGGATGATCTTTAAGGTCATTTTGAATCCAAATCATTCTATGATTCTATGCTCTGCCCCAAGCACAGTTACTTTTTTTTCCTTATATTGTACACTGAGATGTATTGATATATATATTCTCTTACTGTGTGACACTTAGACTATTTCGGTGTCCTGGGTGAGATCTCATACCCAACTGTAGGGGCAAACCTGGGTATTATGATTGTCTCTATTCTTCTAGGTCATTGATAAATTAAGCTTGATGTAGATCCAAGAGCTGAGGTCACTGTGGGACCTCAATAGAAACATTCTGACTCAGTGATGATTCCTCATTTACAGATATATTTTGAGACCTTCTGATTTTGTATCCTGTGGGCTCTAAGATCCTGCTGGCCTTTGGCAAGGGCTTCCTTGATTCTGAATGCCATTCAAATTGCCTTCTTCCTCTCTTATTCTTCCTTTTCCACCTTATTTCCAAGAGGTCCAACAACCGTCTCTGTGCCCAGTGTCTCTGATCTCCTACGCTGGTGTGTATCCCTGTCACACAAGGTCCCACAGCTGGCATTGCTGCCCCCCTGTGCTTTCCCATCTGTCAGTGCGCTCCCCTGCTGTCCAAGCTACTGACTCACTCTCCTGTGCTCTTAAATCTGTCCAGTAAAACCCTGTTTAGCCTGTAATGTATGTAAAGCATTTTCTGATACACGCTATGAACTGGCTTTGTATAAACTGCCCTGTATTGTGATTTTGGGTGCTTTATACTCTGCAATAATGGTGAGTTATTGGAAGAGCTGGCAGTTTTTACTCTAAATCTCCTTGAATTTGTCAGTTTAAGGCAGACACTTAACATCATTTCACTGCAGATTTTAAAAGCAATTTTCTTTTTCCTTTTTAATGGCAACATAACATGGACTAGGACAGCTCTGTTGACATTACAATTAGAGATAAGTGCAGAGAGAAATATTTAGTTATTCTGACTCCTACAGATGGGCTAAATGTAATTAAGTTTCCTTCGCAATCAATTTTGTATAAGAAAAGAAAATTATATCTACATATTAAAACCACTCCTCTTTATATATATGTTCATAGGACCTGATTTGGCATAATTATAAATCCGAAAAATTCCCCCAAGTCATTGGAGTTATACCAGTGTTAGGCTAATACAAAATCAGAAGCTGATTCCTACTGATTCAGGGTTTGTATACCAACACAGCAATAAAAACAAATTGGGAAGGAGACATGACATTACCTGTTAAGTCCTGTTTGCTGGAGGTAGCCTTAGACTATGAGAATATTATGGTGACATAACAAGTTTCCATCTATCAAGCTACATAACTGGATTAGGTTCATAAAAATGGAGGCTATTAGCATTTTGGCCTGCAGTTGTGGTGAGTTAAGAGCATGTACTCAGTTGAGTTACAAAATGCAGCTGACAGGTAGTAACTTCCTAAGCCATTAGGATGTGATCATATTCGGACAGTGACACAAAGCCCAAGAGATCATGCTCTGTAGCTAATTTAGTGCCCTTGTATTTCCAAATCATGGGATTCTCATCTAGCAAAGGTCTTAATCATTCCAATTGTGTTTAAATCAAACATTTATATCTCAGTCCTTAGGAGTTCTATTGTCCTTCAAGTGCATTAGGAGGAAGTCACAACCAAAGAACAAAGCTGTAGTAAAGTTGAACAATTATTATTTCAAACGAGCTCTAAATTTTAGGACAAGGCAGAAAGATAATTTTGCATAGTTTTCAGTTGATTCATTATATGGTGCCTTCAGCAACTGAAAAACTGAGATATTTTAATCATTTGAAGCTACACTCAAATACATGGTAGAAAAAAACATGTTAGAAAATTTTATTAGCCCCAACCGTAAGAATTGAATAATGTAGTTTATTTGGCATAAGCAAGTGTTAGTGTTATTGTTTGGCCTGTATTAAGAGCACGAAAGCTTTATGAGGGGGGAAATCTTGGATGCATTTGTTAAGGACTGATATGTTAGTATGAAGAAAAGTCACAAGCATATTCACAGAAATACTGGTCCCACAGCCACTGAAACACTGAGTTCCCATCAGCACACTTACCCGTGGTGGTAAGGTCAAACATGTGTGGAACTATTTTCCTGAGCAGGGAGAGTACAATTTCTTTTAGAGCCCCTTTAGGATTTGCTGCACTTGTACCCTGGCTGTACCATAACTGCCTTTCCCATTCCAGCTCATAACTCTCTGTTAGCTTTTTCCTGCTTGCAGACTTAAGGGCATGTTTACCTGTTCAAATATCACTACAAATATCATTGAAAAGGTCTCAGCATTATAACAGATGCACGATGGCATGGTTTGCACTTGCTCTCGTGGAGTACATCTGCAGTCTGTTAGCAATGCGATGTCCATTAAAAAATGCCAAGAAGTCAAGCAGATGTCCTTTGCAGTGGGGCCTTTCCCTCACCACAGTTTTCCTCAGCATCACATTGTTCCCCATTTCTTTCTCCAGTTCTTTCACTGTCACAGCTGACATGATCTCTGTTTATAAGATGGCCATTCAGTTCATCTGAGCAGGTGACTTTCTTCTGTCCTGCCATTAATTTAGACACATTGGAAGCTTCAGTAGCTCCAGAAGATTCCTTGAAAGCTCTGCAGAGCTCTGTGCAGGCGAGTGCCTGTGTCCTGGGCACAGGAGGCAGAGCACACTGCCATAACATGGGACACGGGGCACTTAGCACCAGCTTGTGGGTCACCTCCCACTCTGCCAAGCCACAATGTGCCTGCTCTTTGGACATATATTTACCCTGCTGCTGCACATGCAGGTCTTTGTCTTAAGCTGAAAGTTGAAGCCTGTCACTCCCATTAATTTCTTTGATACGAATCTCTCTTTTAAATTTGCCTGCATCTCTTTTTATCATTTTTGTTTCATGAATCAATCTTGCCTGTTTGTTTTTAAGGAAAATAGCATTTACTACAAGCTTTGAATTCTCTTCCAAATATCCTTTCAGTCACTTCAGACAGTTATTGTAGCTTTCTCCAAGCTTTTCGAAGCACAAGGAAATATATGACTCAGCATAGCCTTGGGTTGATAACCAGTGCTGCTAAAATATTGATGTATTTCTGACCCATCCATTGGCATTTTAATAACCTATCCATCACCAAGATATTGAGTCCATATATAAGTAATATGCTATTATTACACAATATAAATAACACTGATGGGAATGGTTTTCATTGTTGCTGAGCAGCGAGGACTCCCTGGGGATACTTACAGTTTCTGAAAACCCTGATATATTTGTATTTTCCTGCATGTGGAAGGCCACACACCACTGGTACTCAGTGGATAAAATGCTTGAAGCCTTTCCACAGGCACATTGGTGGGTTTCCTTATACAAACATCAGTGCTCCCCAGTTAACAGCCTGACTGTCTGCTGCATGCTATGTATTATGGCTAAAATTTGGGAATTTTGAAATAATGAATATGAATAAGCATTAGAGACTCATGACAGTTGCTGCTGCTGCTGCTTAGTCTCTTCTGAAGTTACTCTTTGATTCCATTTGCTTAGATTCCTGGCAACCCTAATTAGACTGAACTGAGCCTGTGGTGAAACAAGTCAGCACAAGCAATGTTTAATGCATATTTGAAACCTGTACAAGAGAGAAAGTAAATGTGAGTTGAAGACTCCCATGGCTTTTTTTTTTTTTACAAACAATACTAGTATTGAACAACTGATCACACAAATGTACCAAAAAGCTCAAATCCTTCAAGCGTTGAGAGTCATGGTGTTTAGTCTTTTAAGTTGTACTGCATAGGAGTTCAGAGAATGATATCTGCTTACTGCAAGGAGAAACTTGCAGCAAGCAAGGGGTTTTTTATTTCACAAGTATTTTTTGCTTTCTGTGAAAGTGTTCTGGACACAGATCTCACAGCTTC